TTTTTTTTTTTTTTTTTTTTTGGTTTTTGGTACTTGCGCTTGTGAGCAGGCGGCGGCACCACTGAGCTAAACCCCCAGCAGCATAGTTTTGATGATACTCATGAAGGAGGACCTTCCAGAACTTCTCCAGAAAGTGGCAAGAACAACAGGGTGAATATGTTTGCAGGCGGGGGTACTCTGAAGGGAATTATGGCAATGCGTCTTTTACCGTAATAAAGTTTAACATGTAAACATTTACCGTATATATAATGTATGCGTATGGACACATCTACTGCCCCGACTTCCTGGTTAACGCTTTGAACCAATCAGGACACTTAAGTTTTGGGCCTGAGCCCCGTTACCCATAACACCTCGTTACTCAGCTAGTGTAGACCCCAGAAGTTTAAGGACAGTCTCCTTATAAGCTCTTGGATGTAAATATTAGCGGACCCAACTTCAACATCTAATTCCAACAGCATCTTTCAAGTGTGGCTAATAATGCTCATATTCTTCGGTGGGCCATCCATTTGTTCATAGAGATACTCATCGAAGTCAAAGAGAAACAATGATTTGTGTGACACAGTTTCTCACTGGAGCAGAGCCAACATCCACGGAAGCATCTCGGTGAGTAAAATGAGTTCAAGATTCCAAGGTCTCACAAGGAGAACTAGGGTTTCCTGGAGGTGGGGCCCCCGAAGGTTCTCAGGGCAAGGTGTGGAAAGCCAGGCGTGGGCTGCAGCGAGGGCGGCATCTGGCCCCAAGTCACTCTGACCCTCCCTCCCTGGTCCAGAGGTCCAGTTCTTGCAGTGACCTGGAGTGGAGCCACTGGATCGATGCACTCCCAGCGTGATGGAGACTCTGGGGCCAGCCCAACCCACAGAGTTCCTGCCTTTGATACACTCTTGTCCAAAGCGGCTGAGCACAGACCTTCCCTCCCTACGAAATGGGCAAGAAAATGGAAACTCTCGCTGTGTTCCGAGAATCCCGACTGTGTAGCTGGGCTAGGAGCACATCTGGCTCGGCAGTGGGAAGAGCAACTGAGATGCATGGGCGTCACCCAAGTCACCTTGTGATGCTCCCACAGCCCGTTCCTGATGCTGCTCCCTTCCAGCCAAGTCTTTGGGAAGAGCTAACATCAGAAGGTAGTAAAACATGGGGAGAAGAAGCAAAATATTTTAGGGACTGAAAGTCTCTTTATCCTCTCTAATTCTAATGGGATAATGCCCATTTTGCCAAAATACAAGGTATGAACTAAATGTTAGAAAAAAGTATGAAGCTTGTTTTTAGCAAAGTGGGTCCCAAGGCACATGTGGGACGGAGAGGAGATAATAGTGTCCTGTAAATAGGAGGAAATCCGGCAGGGCTAAGTACTTGTTGAGAAAAAGAATGGACCCTGCTCGCTCTCCCTGAAGAGAAGAAAACCTAAAGTCCTAAGCTGAGAAACAGCCACACTGATACCACCCAAGGGTTCAGAAGAGTTTAATTTTAGACCATTTGTAGTGGGATCCTGGGCAGGAAAGTGACGTGGTAGAAGTTATATTTGACAACATTAATGGAATTAATGTTATTAATGTTGTGGACAACAAACCCTTAATGTCATAGGAAAATGATCATTACTTCCTACTGTAGTGTTAAGCAAAAATACATCTTAAAAAACACAAAGGATATACAGCTATAATATTTAAAATATGGAAAAGATATGGAAGGATATATAAAAAATGTTAGTTGCTTTAGGGTGGTAGGTTGAATGGGTAAATTTTTATGCTGCCTCTTTCCACTTTTCTCTTTTCAAGATTTTCTTTGATAATCACCTATTTTTATACAATCAGAAGTCAGTCAAGGTAGGGGAAAAAGAAAAGAATGGTAATGAGGGAGGGCCTCCCCGTATCTCCCTCTTCCTGCCCAGGAAAGGCTGTACTAATGTGTCTGGAAACTGGTACGTCCACAAGAAAAGGACATTTCCATCCCCATACCTCATTGAAACCACCAATGCAATCACCAAGCTGAGAACGAGGACGCCCAAAATGGTGCCCACAATTGTGAGGATGAGCTGAAATTCTGAAAAGGAAAAGAAAAGAGTAAGAATGGCCGTTCACAAGCGGGTCCCAGCTGTCCACTGCACAGGTCTGTGCGTTCCCAGTGACTCCCGGTTGAGAGGTGGCTCGGTGTGGTTCTGACCTCTCCAGAGCCAGGTTGGATAGGCCGCTCATGGACTTTGCAGTGTCCCCTTCTCCTAACTGTATCTTCAGAACTCAGAAGAGGAAGTCTGGCCAGGTACAAGACCATAAAACAAAGGAGGCAGATGGCAGAGGGCTCTTCCTGGGTACGGTGGGAAGTAGGTCCAACTGAGGTGGACACCTCTCTCTTTACCTCTGCTGCCTCAGCCCTCTGTGCCTCTCCGAACTAACAGACTCAGTTGGAGTTGGGCTTGTCCCTAACAGAGAAGCCAGGTAGCTTTGGTTTTATCCCGAGGGAAGAATCTTGAGGCTGGTTCACAAGCGTATTCTTCCCCCACCTCTCACTGGCATTCCCAATGCTGCAAACGCGGCTACGAGACAGCCTGTGAGTGTAACACAGGCACCAGATTCCAAACACTGAGCGCGAAAAAAATGGGAAGAAATTCATTAATATTCTTATATCAATTACATGTCAAAATAATATTTTGGATATATTGGATCTCTCTATATATCTATCTATCTATAAATACTGGATATATATTTCTTTTTACCTTGAAATTTTGCTTGATTTCTTTTTTGTTTGTTTTATTTTTAGACAGAGTCTTGTATGTAGCCCAGGCTGGCCTTGAACTTATGATCCTCCTGACTCAGCCCCCCGAGTGCTGGGGCTACAGGTGGGTACCACTATATCCAACCTTTGTTGTTTGTTTGTAAAATTTTGAAAAGCGTGCTATGGAATCTGTGGCTTATACTACATTTCTACTGAAATGGTAGCTAGTGCTGCTCCAGATCTGTGTCTTTCTTCCACGTCACTGACACAAATGCTCCTTCCAACCTGGGCTCATGGGGCCACAGAATGTGAAGTCTGGGAAGGAGGTGAAACGTCAGGTCTTCTGGTGCAAACCTTCATCTCTCTTCTAAAATTGTTTGGGAGTACTGGAGACTGAACTGGGAGTCTTGCACTTACCAGGCAAGTGTGCTGCTGCTAAGCTACGCCCCCAGGCCCAAGCTCCCCTTCGATAGATGTGGAAACTTCCCAGAGGGAGAAATGACTTAGCAAGCCTGCCTGTGTCCCAAAAGGCAGCAAGGCTGAGAGCATCTGTCAGCTCGGCCTCTGTCTGGCAGGAAGTTCAAGGCCATATTTCCTGCATCTTCAATCACCGAGCTTTATTTTGCATGGACATTTTTAAATAGTTTAAAATTTAAAGCCAGTATTGTCCCTGTCTGGTGTGAATGAGGCATGGGAGAGGATGAAGGAACTTAATTTGCAATATGTCCCAAGCCAGTAAAGACCCCTGGGACAAGAAGATCTGCGTATTTAAATGACTTGTTCCTAGGTTTGCACTCCCACAACCAGTATATTCTAAAACACACTGGTCTCTTATCCTTACGAGTAGCAGAAAATTCATATTTGAGCAAATGTTGGGCTTCAGTGTCACGATTCGGGGTGCCATTCTCCAGGCACCAGCCTGCCCTGGGCCTGGGCATCACGGTAGAGACCATGCTTCCTGTAACCTAGGGGTGCTTGGGAGGCCTGACCCACGGCACAAACTGATTTTCTCCTCCATAGAGGAGCCAGAGACTGGTGGGCGGGACAGGATTTTGAATGGGATTCATGGTTATTGCTTAATAATTCATTGATAATGGCAAGGCTTTTATACTCACGGTCTTCACAGTCCATTCCGCTGTAGCCAAACGGACACCTGAAATACAGTAAGCAACCAGAAACCACATTAGAAGCCCCCGTGGGGAACAGGCTGGACTTCCCATCCCCGTCCCCATGTCTCCCTTCCTTCCCATCTATTCTGCCCTCCCTCGCTCCTTTTTCTCTCGTCTCCTTATACTCCTGTAATCCCAAGAGAGCGCATCCCACAGGGCTCTGGAGGGCCCAGGAGTGTCCGGTCCCACTTGGTCTCAGTTGCTACTGGTGGAACCTTCTGCCCTTTGAGCTCCAGGAAGACTCAGCCATTCAGATGGGGCTGAACCCAAGAGCGATGGTGTCACCGGACCCTCTCCAGGGTTGGCACCACCTCACTCTGCCACCTGCTTGCTGCCTCCCCTGAAAGTGGATGACCAACACGTTCCCGCCAGTGGTTGTGTGATAGGTACTATGTGGTGTGCTCCATTCCTGGCATGCAGAGAATGATCAAAGGCTAACAGAGAAGACCATGCTGCTGCTACCTACTGCCTCTGCCAGCTTCCTGACTGCAACCCCACATACGTGTGTTGAGCTCCACCCTTTCTGCCTTGCTCCAGTCACAGCAAGATGAGAATGGGCTGACTTGTCTTACTCTTGGCAGTGGTCTGTGTGAGTCCTCTGGTAGCCCGGCAGGCACGCACACGTCAGTTCCCCAGTGCTGTTCTTTAAGCATTGCTTTTTGTCTTCTGCTTTGCAGTCTTCAGAACACTGTAAAGCTTCAAAACACAGCAACTCCTAGGTAACTTTCAGAAACAATCTCTTCAAACCCAAAGGGGCAAAATGTAATTTTTTCACAGTATTTTTTGTAAGTAAAATGAAGTGCTCGTCGGCACCAAGCATGACCTGCCCCATGAAACTACCCTTAGTTTCCAAGCTCGTAGCCAAGACCCCCATTCCAGTCTCTATGTCGAAAGCCCAAACAGACATCATGCAGTTCATAGGCAGTGATGTTCGTAATTTGCACATGCAAAAGGAAGGAGAGGGGTGTGAAGAACGCTCTGAAGCAGGTGCGATGCTTACTGAGACAGAAGGGAGACTGCGGGAAAGGTCTCTGCAGCCCATTTTTACACTGGCAGTTTACGCTACTGCTGCAGTTATCTTGGTGAGTATCTTCACAACCATAATACTCACACTGTTCTTGTTCTGTGAGAGACACAAATTGTTTAAAAATACATTCAGCAAGACAATATAGATAAGGCAATTTGTGAAAGCACTCCACTCCATCCTTGTTATACTTGGCCTTGAAATACATTTCAAGATTTAATAAATGAGGACATGGGAGATTCTAGAAGCCAGCTCCCCAGTCCTTTCTTCAAAGACCACTTCCTTATGTTCTTCAGTTCAAACTCAATCCACCGAGTGCAATGCAATAAGGCTCAAGTTGACCATCAGTTTTGCACCTGTCTCTGTGCTAGGTTTCATGAGAGGCACAGAAATCATTTAACTTTTGGGCTTCATCTTTGCAGTTACACCAAGCAACTCACAGTCCAGTTCTAGGGTTTGTGGCCCAGACTTTAAAGATAATGAGAATTCAGTATCTCAAGTAGCCAAGATACTATTGAGGAAAAGGTGAGAGTTAGGTAAGTCTTCAGAGATGGGGAAGACTGAAACAGAGGAGAGGCAAAGATGCTTAATTAGAGTCATAAAAAGAAGCACAGAATTCTTGTTGAGGAACAGTGGAGTTGTGCTTGGGTAGGGGACAGGTAGTATGGTGAGGTGAAAGAAACCTGAGAGTTCCTGGCTTTGCTCTTTGTTGGCCCTCGGCTCTCTATTCCACAGTTTTAATGTGAGTGAGTCCAACTTCCCTCCATCTAGAAAACTGGGTTAATGATTCTTATTTCACATGATTGTTATGGGAACTGGGCAAGTTCACGTAAATGACAGTGCCCATTACAGCATCTTCAACAAATCCTCATGCTTTTGTTCATTGAAAAGTGTGGTAGATTTTGAATGTCAGGCTAAGGACAATGAACTTTACTTTATAAGCCAAACAATCCTTTGGTAGATTTTGAGCAGGAGCACAGCACGAGAAAGCAATCTTTTAAGAATATTAGTCTATAAATGGACTAGGAAGCCTTAGAGGTAAAAAGAGGAATTTGAGTGTGGACTGGGGGAAGGAGAGAAGCAGGTAGGAGAGTGGTATGATGGTCTCTGCTAACCATCCCAAACCATCACCAACCTTCCTTTTTCACCAGCTACTTGGAAAATGCTCCAGTTAAGAGTCTAGAGGAAGAGTCAATGCCTGGTGAGCACAGAAGTCTATCTCAGCCACTGGAACTGGAGAGCAGAGAAGATATTTTACTCTGCAAGGTATGAGGTTCTCAATTCCATTTTTCTAAGGTTTATGCTCTCATGGTGTCTATAGAGGACACCATTTGGCGTTTTGTTAGGGCATCTAAGAACACATGCCCAGTGTCACAGTGGAGGGAGATGCTGTAGGGAGTTGTCTAAAAAGTAATCCTTAGGGCTGGGGCAAATGGGCTTGAATACACCAGGACTTGTAGCTAAGGCGATTTCTTAGGAGAGCACCAACAAGATAATTTCCTGCAGCTTGAACATTGTCTTAAAGAAGGCACAGACTGTTTTTCTTCTCTCTCTCTCTCTCTCTCTCTCTCTCTCTCTCTCTCTCTTTCTCTCGGGGGTTTTTTGGTTTTGTTTTTGTTTTTTGGGTTTTTTTTTTTGGTACTGGGGATGGAACTCAGGACCTTGTGCTTGTAAGGCACATGGTGGAACCAGAGTTAAATCCCCGGCCCAGCATGGACTGTTTTTAGCTGGGGACCACCCTGAGTAACCACTCAGAGCCTATGCTTGTGGGGACATTCATTACATTTGCTATAAGTCTCATCTAGCCCAAAGTGAAATGTATCCTAAGGCCCAAGGATTTGGACTGCATGAGATGTTACTCTGGACCAAATTCTGACCTCAACCAGAAGGCAGATGGGGGTGATGAGTCCCTTGGGAGACAGGGACCAAGTGACAGGCGGGGGTGGGGTGGGGGGAGGAATAGTGCATAGACGGATACATGCTACAGACTTTGAGAAAATAAACACTGAAACATTCAGAAAGGAAATAGTATTATCCCCCTGGCATGAAGATGAAAGCCATTCAGGAAGGTGAGAAAGTGTGAAAACATAATTCTAACTATCCAGCTGCAAAAATGAGTGTAAAACATCAGGTCGCTTAAAAATTGGTGCATTTGCATAGGAAGCCCTCAGATGATTAGAATAAACAAAATACGGGAAGGTCTCATCACCAAAGATCGAATGCTGTATTACAGATGTGCCAGAGAAAGTCTAGCCTCCAAGAAGCTCAGCCTTGCCACAACAAAATCTAAAGTAACCGAAACAATGAGAAACTCCGGCAAAGAGAAGTGAAAAAGGTTAAAATGAAACATGAGCAAGATGAAGGTTCTGTGTGTGAGTGCGTGCATGCGTGAGAGGTGGGACTACACGAGGCTCATGAAAAGGGAGGAGGGGCTGGGGTGATTTTGATGACTGGCGTAAGAAAATCACAACGGCTCCACAACTATTTTTCTCCAGTCTCTTGTGCCAGGAAACTATGCTTAGATGGAAACAGGTCAAGTATAAGTTGCTGAAAGGGAATCGGAGGCTTCCGAGGAGGTTCAGCTCGGAAGAGTTCTCAGACTTTCTGAGAGTTTGGAGGGTTGTTGTTTTTTTTTAATAGTATGTTTACGTTTGAGGTTCCAAGACATTGATACAATTCTTTGTAAAATATTGAAGAATGAGAAAAGGTACTGGAAAAGCATAGATGAACAGGATTTGTTTGTTTTCAAAAAGAGAAAGTAGTTTTGTGAACTAGGTCAGCAGCATTTTAAGAGGTAAGGGACTGAATCTCAGAAGGGAGCCAAAGAAAGGATGAGGGAGGCGGGCAAGGGGGAAGAAGAGCGGTGGTGGAAGGCCGGGAGACAGGGACTTGGACAAGGGGCATGGACCCACGTCACACGTTGCTGAGAGGTTGCATGCACTGTGGCTCAGCAGAGACCTTTGCACTGGGCAATGAGAGGCCTGAACACCTGCTGCACAGTCCTTCCCCTGGGGCTGGCCCTTCAGAGGAGCCACTGTGCCGCCCACTGTGGTGGGTTGGCTGCGGCAACAGTATCAATCTGTGAGCACTTTCTAGATTCACATCCTCCACTCGGGCCCTTCTATGGGTACCCTGGGCTTGGCCTTGTGACCTGCTTTGACCACTAGGATGACTGTAAGTGTGACACCAGCAGAGCGAGAGAACACTTGTGCGTTGAACTTTACTCCCTTGCTGCTCACGAAGCCCTTTAGACCAGCCTGCCGGAGCAGATTCAGGCCTTCAGCGGAGACATCTGAGACCAGCCAGCCGCCTCCTGAGCTAGCAACCAGCTGCAGATGCTTAAGTGAGCCCAGCAGAGATCAGCCAAGCCTGGCCAAGACACTGAGCCCATCTCAAGTTCTGACCCACAAAATCGTGGAATTGCAAGAACTAAGTGGCGGTGTTTACGCCTCTAAGTTGTGTGGCGGTTCATAGCACAGCAAACTCAGCTGCACTGTTATAGTGTCATAGCTGCACTGGAGGCATTGCGTGTCAGATTAAAAGGGAGACCAGGACAGGTGGGACTTTTGAGAACAGACGGAAAGCTGTAACTTAATATAAAGCTCTCCGATTCTTTTTTCCATTCTCTCCTGTTCAGAGGTGACTTGCCTGGTCACTTGTGCCTTCCGAGGGTGGAACAAACCAGTCACTCTGATGACTTGGAAGGTGACTGGAAAGGAGCAGAAGGCAAGTGAGAGGGGAGAGGAGGGAGGGAGAAGGGATTACTTCAAAGGAAATCTGGAGATATCCGTTGATTCAACTGTGTAGTTTATATATAAAAGAAAGCTTTACAAATAGGTGGATAGATTTTTAGGCAAACTTGGAGTAAAATTATCCAAAACTTACTTGAATACGATAAAATGTTCACTGAGGATTTATTTGCTTCGTTAATTTTATCCTCTATAGTTGTCTCATTTTCAGTTGTATTTTTCTCAAAAAGGTTTACGATTCTTACAGACACTGATGCAGATCTTGCTTGCTGTGGAGATGTGCTAAAAACAAAGTGAAATTGTCACTTGTAGAACTGAACCGAAGGGCCAAGGAAGAGGTCTTCAAACCTCCGAGATGCCCAGCCCTCATCCTGACCCACTGATATGTCTCCGCAGTTGGGACCAAAATGTGGAGGCCGAGAGCAGAAGACGATGTCAGAGATCTGTATTTGACGTGTGTTCAGGGGAAATGGACAGCAAAAACAATGTCCCGTTAGCAGATACAGAGGAAAATCATGGACAGTCTTTTTTAGGGCCTAGGAATCTGGAGCTGACCAAGGCTAGAGCGAGTGACATGTGAAATAGGACATTGTCGCAGTCTGTTGGACAGCGAGGATGGGTCTCTTAGCCATTGAGTCAGACTTCTACTCTTAGAGAGACAGAGGGGTGTGTACTGTTCCCCGTGCCTGGGAAGAGCAGAAACCAACAAGACAGAGCCTGGGCTACTCCCAGATGGGACAGGGAGTCAGCAGTGGGTGTCATAGTGGGAGTGATTAGGGCTGCACACCCTGGCCCACAGGAACATGATACAAAGAGGACCAGACAGAGGGGAACCTGGACATGTGAAGCCAGATATGCTTCACATCCCCTCCCTCTAATCAGCAGCACAGTCGGAAGTCCTAAGGGCAGTACCACGTTCTGGGCAGCCGAAGAGAATCAAGGATGCAAGCACTGAGAAGGTGAAGAAAAGGACAGATTATAAACTTCTTCCCTATTTGACTTGTGGCTCTGGCTTTTTTTTTAGTGAGGACCTCTCTCTGTAGTTTGGGCTGGCCTTGAACTCACTATGTAGCTCAGCATGGCCTCAAACTCATGGCAGTTCTCCTGCCCCAGCCTTCTGAGGTATGCATCACCGTGCCCAGCTCTGGCTCTGGGCTTTTAGGCCTTAATATACCTTTCTTGCTTTCTAAATGTTCCTATGCTCCATGTTGACTTTTAAAATGGAGAAGCCTAAAAACATATCCAACCTCCTTGGGAAATGTTTATAGCCATACTGGTCCCCAGAACAACCAAGAGGAAAAATCCAAAACATGAACCAAATTCCACTTTGAGGCATAACATTTTTAAAAAGCATCCGAAAAATTAAGTAGACCTCAGAAGTTTAATTTTTACATTTCTACCGGAATTGATCCATGTCAGATTGGAGGGGTGGTGATGGACTGTCCGTGGCAGTGAGAAGGGATATGTAAGTTTTTCTATGTTGCTTGAAAAAACAATCAGAAATCTAGGGCATAATTCTCCACTGGGGCTTGAAAATACCACCCATAATATATTCATCAATGAATCTACCTGATTACACTCTAGGGCAAGAGGAAGGCATCCAATCTCAAAAGAGTTCAGGGAAGCGATGGTGCCATGGCCTGTTTGAGGGAAAATGAGCAGAGCCCTAGAAATGGATTTAAGAGATGAGGGCTAGATCCAAGCTTGCTGTAGATCGTCTTTTGTGGCCAAAGGGCAGTAATAATTTCTTTGAGGTTGAGTTTTTTTCCTCTGTCTTAAGAGAAGTTTGGGAGAGAGAAATTCCAAGGATCCCTCCAGTTCCAGCATTTGTACCTTAGGTAGAAAGCAGGAGCTGCAACTTTAAAAACGCCCTCCTAGGCGGGACCCACTTGCCCTGTGGCAGCTCCCCAGCGGGGTGGGGAGTTCTGAGCCAACAGGTAAAAGGCAGCCTCCAGACTTTTAATACCTCTTTAGAACAAAGGGTCACCAGAAGGGGAACTGCTCCGCAGATGACCTAGGGAGACCAGTTCTTGATCACACCGGAGGGTCCTCTACTCCGAAAGGACACAGAGCAGTGCTGGAATCAGCTGTACACCAGGGGACACATGCAGGGAATCTTCCAGCCTTATCTCATTCACAAGGCCATGGGGAACTCGGCCAGGATGTCCTGTCCACACAGACAGGGTAGCGAAGGTTCAGGGCAGTTAACACCCTTGGGCCAGTGTGCAGCAAGGAAATGCTGAAGCTGACACTAAAGCGCGGATTTGGCTGACTCGGACACACCTCACAGCTTCTGTTCTGATCCTGAACCAGCTGTTGTCCGCTAAAGCCTAGAACAATTCATAGCCTCAGCTGCCATCTGCTGCACCTCTACCTCCAGATCCCTGTGTTTGGACGCAGCCTCTCCATGTGCTGCCAGCCCCTCGCTGGGCAAGCACGGCCCTTTCTGGCTGCCAACCAGACTCGTGCCCATGCAGAGCAAGCTTGAAAGTCACCACCTTTGGGAAGTCTGCTCTGAAGATTTTAGCGCGTGCATGCACATGCACACATGCACACACACACACACACACACACACACACACACACATTCTTAGTATCCACCTGAGACTGGTTCTGGGCTCCCCCACAGACACCCAAATCCAAGGATGCTCAAATATCTCCTGTTGTGCCTTTTTTTGGGTATTGGGGATCGAACTCCGGCCCTTGCAGTTGCAAGGCAGGCAGCGGAACCACTGAGCCAGATTCCCCAGCCCTCAAGTGGCTTCTATAAAACCACAGACCATTTGAACACAATCTATACACATCCTGCTGGGCCTTTCAAATCACCGCTGCATTACTTTCATACCTAATGCAGTGGAAATGCCCTGGAAGTAACTGTTATACTGTGCTTTGTACAGATGCAATTTTTAAAAAATCCTTTCAATCTGCAGTTGGTTGAGTCCTTAAATGTGAAACCCACGCATGCCGAGGGCCAATTGCCTCTCTCTATTTTATCTTATTCCCCAAATGGTTTCACATAGCTTTTAGGAAAAAAATATAACAATAAAACATAAATATTTCATCGCATTGCCATCTCCGCTCAGCTCGGGATCATCTTCCAGCACCGTTTTCCCTCCGACCATGCGCTTGTGTATTGACACGCTCCAGAGAGGGCTGTCGTGGAATTGCTAACTACTAGGGATCTGCTGTCTCTTTACATCCCTAAGTAGCACCAGCGGAGAGAGCTCAGGATGGGCCAGCCCCTGGTCGCCAGCTGTGTGATTCAGGTGTCCCAGCCCCTCCTCCTTTGCCCCCATGAGGAATCTGATGACCAGTGAGCTTCGCGTCCCCAGCCAGCCTCCGAAGTGCTCCACTGACCCGCAGCAAACTTACCTTACTGTGTGAACTACAGTCTGTTTGTAATCTGTGTTTGTGAACGCATTCGTAAACTGTGGGAGAGAACAGATTTCATAACAAATTGAAAAAAATGGAAAGCATTACGCGATCTAGGTCTTAACACAAATTTCTGTGACTCATTTATATAACTATACATGGCACATCAGTGCAAATTACATGCCTGCCTGTGGCAATCTTTGCTGTAAAGTCTCACAGAAGTCAGCTTTATTCAGGGGAAAGATGGAAAAACCTCGGCCACATCAATTATTTTACTTTTAAAACTAAGGGGGCCAGCTAATTCAGTTTGTCTGAATTTCGCATATGATTTGTTAGTCCTACCCTTACAGGTGCTTCACCCATTCCGGGGTTTGGGGGGGATATGTATTTACTAGTTGCCTCCCTTGCCCAAGGCGTTGTGGTAGGGAACCTTACTGATCATCAACAGGGCGGCCCCAGCCTTGTGACAGAGTTGGGGGAGTTGGGGATCACAGCCAGGAATGCCTTGGAGAGGAATGAGCTTCCCTGGAAGCTCGGAGATGCTCTTTCTGTTGCAGAGGATCACAGAGGGCTTCTAGAGGAGACAGACAGGTCGGCAGGCGGTGCCAGGACACCAGCGAGGCTCACGGGAGCAGGCTCGGCTGGGAAGGACACCTACGGTCAGTTTGGTCACTTGTGTTCAAATGAACCTAACTCTTCTTGTGGGAGAATGTGGGTAACAGCAATTCCCACCCCACCAGGGGCACAGTGTGTGCAGAATAAGTTGGAGAACACAGCACCTGGCTTTGGGGGCAGCAGGGCTCCAGCACAGGTGGACGTTCAGGCAGGGGTTGTGTTCCAGAAACAGAGACGGTTCTAAGTCTTAGAGGGGAGCAGCTGCAGGTAAAGCTAGCTGGGTGAGGTACAGGTAGCTTGGGGTTCCAATTAGCATTTATATCTTTGATGCCGAGAGCAGATTTTTCTCTTTCTTATACACAGCCTGGTCCCTGCCCCTCCTATCCCTGTCCCAGCCACAGTGCCCAGGAAACACACGACGCACACTGGTTAGATGACAACAGTTTGTAACTGGGTCTGTGCAACCTTTTCATAATCTACCACTTTTATTTTTCTTCCACGGGGGTCTCACATCTTAAAAGACTGGCAAGCTGTGGCATTAAAAAGATGTTAAGTTTAAATTAAAAAGAAATGTCTCTTTAATTCTAGCCAAATTCACGTCAGCTGGATGTTCTAGTAGCCAGCTTTACCTTACACGTAGGACACATCCAGATTTCTTTATGCTCTTTTAGACACTAGAAAGTACTGGTGTTTCTGTAGCCCAGTGGGGCCCAAGGGTGCTAGCTGACCTGGCGAGTCCCCTGCAGCCCCCCTGTAACCATTGCTGCTGGAGTTCTCCTAGTCTCCAGATGAGCTTGAGAATTCGCATCTGACGTGAAGAAGGTATTCCCTGTCCCCTCCCCACTCAGGTCGCCTTTGAGGATGCTATGTATACAGCTCATAATCTGAAAGACTGTATGACAGGATGGGCAGTCAGGAGCTATGCACACGAGCCCGTCCAGCAGAGCCAGCAGGTGAGCGGGGCTGTGAGGTCAGGCAGGTCTGGGTTCCAGCACCAACCTCCTCGCTCATCTTTCTGATTCTCAATGACCTCATCTCTAAAATAGGCACCATGGCACTGTTTCCCCCACAGGGCTATTTTGAGAATGGGAAACATCACACACAGAATGCATAGCATCCAAGAGAGAAATGCCAGACTGCTCTACAGCCTGTCCAGCCGATCCAGCTGGGAAGAAAATGACCTTGGGAGACTCCCCTTGGCCTGACCTGGGACTGCCCCATGGGATCTCTCAGGAAGACCTAGAGGGAGCTGTGTTGCTCTGCCCTCCTAAGTCCACGCCAGGGCTGCAGGGGTGTATACCATCCTTCTGGATTAATGATCTCTTTGGAATTATAAACAGCCCCAGGCACGGCATAGGTCTTGTAAGGGGAGGGGGCTTTGTGACTCTCAGACCCAGGGCCAAATCTGGGGACCTCAGTAGCCCCAGTGCTCGGGAAGGCCATGCGGGAACATTTAGAGGTTCCCTGCAAAGAGGAATATTGCTCCTGTTGTGGTCTCCAGTGCTCTGAGTATCATGCGAGCTGGCGAATCCAAATCAGGATGCAGGTCCCAGACAAGAAGACAAGTTGTGCCACTGGCCTGTTGAGCAGAGGGGGCCTGGCAAAGGGGCCAGAGTAAACCCTGTGACCGAGGGCCATGGCCCTCATCCTGGCATTGCCGGGGGCAGCTGTGCAGTCAGGAAGACTGGCTCACTCGCTGTGAAGGCTGTACAATCATTTCTGTTATAATTGTTTACACTCTACCAGTTCTAACATCAAAGCTCTTTTGTAGGGATGTAATTCTGAGTTGAAAGGTGTTGTCATAGAACAAGGATTTAGTCTCTAAAGGTGTTTTTCCACTCACAGTCCTAAGACATACTGAGGCTGGTTATTTTTCCCCAGGCCTGACACCTGCACTCCCAGCGATACTCACTGCTTGTACACCGACACCCTCGCTTCCAACAATCTACGTGAAAGGAAAACTTAATTCATTCCACTACTTTTGACAATGGGGGAAAAAAGTAACTATGTAAAATCAGATTTAGTTTCCCTTCTAAATTATTTTTTAACAGACTAGTATGAAAATTTATACAAATTTGAATGTAAAAAAGGAAAAAAAATCTTGAAAATGTTTGCTCTTCCATGTTATTTATTTGTTTTTTAATGTATGCAGTGCCGGGAGTCAAACTGGGTCTTGTGCAGGCTAAGCAGGCACTTGACCACCGAGCCACACAGTTGGTTCAAAATCATTAAAATAATCAATTAAGTAATTAATCCATGGGCTGGAGATCGATGCCAAGGCCTTTCACATGCTAGGCAAATGCTCTGCCCAGTCCACTCTGAGATACCTTATTTTAAAACGTCACCCTATTTTCTGTCCATTTCAGGCTAGGTTGATAATCTCTTTTTATTTATTTATTTATTTATTTTGGTACCGAGGATAGAACTTGGGTCCTTGCACTTGCAAGGCAGGCCACTGAACCGCTGTGCTAAATCCCCGGCAATTTCTTTCCTTTTTTTTTAATTTTAATTTTTTTTTTTTGACAGGTTCTCACTACGTAGTTGAGACTGACCTGGAACTCACTATGTAGCCCAGGCTGGTCTCGAACTCACAGCGATCCTCCTGCCTCAGCCTCCCGAGTGCTGTAGATTGATAATTACTATCAGAAGGGCTCTTCAAGGCTGGAAGAAGCTTCCTCCGCCCTGTCAGGCGCCGGCCTCTCATTGTGAGACTGGGGAGTCCAAGACAGGGCTCTAGGTGACAGGTGAGCAACGGTAGCAGCTGTCTACCGGGCATCTCATCATGTGAACACCAAAGACCAGCCCCATGCCCTGTAGCTCAGCAGGAGAACAGAGAATGTTTCTGCAGAAAGGAAGGGAAGCAATACTTACGAATGTATTAATTTTAGACCATAAGGTCTGGTAGGCGGGAGAACCTTCATTCTGCAAGTCAGATGTGTCAGTTACCATTATGGTAATCTGTCCAGGGAATGTCTTTCCTGAAAGTCAAGCAAAGTCTTTCTATCCGATGTAGTATAAAGAGGGTCATTTCCATCCCGTTTTAAGACATAACTTTTTTTTTTAAAGATCAGAAAATTATATGATGACACTACAGGAAGTCTGGAGAGATTTAACCAAGATATTCATAATCTGACCCAACCCAGCACAACCATTTTCGCTTTGGCATGTCCCTCTCAGCCCTCACCCCCAGCTAACACCACTGAAGTCCCAAGTTTATAATTTGCCTCACTCTTTTTCCCAACTATTACTTAATAAGCAGTTTCCCAGGCCATGTCTTAGTCTTCAGAGCTACTGTTTTTACAGACTTCACAATATTCTACAAAGTCTATGTTCTCTGTGTCAGTGTAGTCATTTTTCTTGTTTTTGGACTTGGTACTTTTCATCATTCAAAAGGGAGGAAGAAGGCTGCAGTGAACACATTCATGTGTGAACCTTTTCTAGGGTCATTTACTTAGAGTAGATCCCAGAAATGAGCCGATGAGTGTTAAAAATATGAATTTTGTTTGGCTTTTGGCACGCCCCCAGGCCCTGCGGGTTGTACTTGTGTACCTTGCTTCCTGAACAGCCCATCTGCTTTGGCAAGAGGGCGCGTCCTGGTTTATGAAACAGAAAAACTGTAACTCAGCCAGACAGGCCTTGGACCTGCGTAGCGCCAGGTGCTCTGACCCAGCAGCATTAAGCCACGGTTGCATCGCTGGGCTCTCAAAATCTTTTTCCAGACCTGAGGGCCTCTTCTTCTCCATCACGGAGAAGACAGATTCTGTGCCCCAGAAGTAGGCCGACGCCAGAAGACAAGGCTGCCGGACCATGTCGCCTGCCTCAGTGGCCCCATGCTGTCCACTTTGGAGACCAGTATCTTGAAGTCTTGTGGCCTTTGGTGTTTTTCAGGGGCTCTAACACCTACGGCTCTCCTTTTGTCCCCATAGTGCCTTCCTTGGAGGCAGGCAGAAGGGACAAGCCCACCCAGACCTTCAAACCTGCTTGCAAGCTTGACTTGATCATAGTGTCCCCCACTGGTTTTCAAGGGACAGAGACAGGAACCATTTCCCTACTTGGTGGCCTTTGTTGCCTCCAAATTTTCCTCTACCTCTCATACTCTGTAGAATATTTTGTTGCATCTCAGTTTGAGTTTCCTGTTCCACTCTAGGTATGTGATTCGGGGCTCTGCCATGGCTCAGTCCTTGTCGCTCACCTTTGAAACATTTCATGGAGCTGTAGTAATATCCCTCCAGGCACAGGCAGATGCGTTCTTCATACAGATTCACACAGGATACGTCCTCCCCACAGGGCTTCTCCTGGCAGTGACTGCTGGGACCTTGGACGGAGTAGAAAGAGGTCAGAAAGCCACGGAAAGGAAGGCAAACTGTGCCTGAAGACGTATTTCCTCCTCATTTGCCTCCCTTCTGGCCGCTTTCCGTGACTGTCACTCATAGCACACCATTAGAAAAGCTAGCAGCAAAGCCACACTTCCTTATGTCTCTGGGGAGTCTGTGGCTGGCATCTTGAAGCCAAACCTTAGAGGCTGGTGAACAAAAGCCTACTTGAGACAGAAAGGGAAGAACACAGCAGTCTCCTAGTCCAAGGAGTCAGGAATCTTGAGATCTCCAGAGCCCCCCAGAACCTTGATGCCTAACACTGGGAGAGCATTTTGGACAAAGCCTTGCATTTCTCAGGAAGGTGTGCAGAAACACTGCTATAAAGGAATAGCCCTGGCACCCGCAAAAGAGACCGGAAGACACATTCTGGCTGGCCTTCCTGGTGACCACACCCACGAGGAAGGGAAAGGGACAGCCAAGGAGAGGACGTGGCTGGCAGAGGCAGTGAGGGGTGGTCCTACCACTGACTTTCTGATCAGTGGCCCTAGGCAGTAGCTCCCACACCACTGGCCAAGACTCCTGACCCAAGAAGGGCAAGCATCTTCCCTCTCTCCAGAGAACAGAGCAGGGAAGCCGCACCAGTGGCTATGTGGTGACCTTGGTTGGCCATTTTCTTCTCTGTCAGACAATAAGGCTCTGAGCTTCAATTTCAGAATAGGGTAACAGTTTGACAAACTTTAGCGCTGTCTTGAGGTTCTTACAAAGCTGTAGGTAGAAATTGCTGATTTTTAAAAAGTCACCTAAGGTATTAGATGTATAATATTCTCTCTTGTGATGAGGGGAGAAGATGTATAAATAAATATCATAAATGAAGACATATGCATGCTTGTATTTGCACAGATTATCTCTGAGGGAGACATAAGAAAGTGGCTACAGAAGATGCTTTTAGGGAAGGAAAGTGAGAACCTGTGGGTTTAGGATGAGAGGAAATTAAATTTTTTTTTCTTTTGCAGTATTGGGGACTGAGCTACATTCCTAGGTTTGGAGATTTAATTTTTATCTCATGTACTTTTGCTCTGTTTGAGCTGCCTAATTTTTAAATCATGGGCCTATTTTTTTTTTACTTTTTTTTTAAACAAAGCAGTGTAGCTCAGTGATAGAATGCTTGCCTGCTATGCATGAGGCCTTGGATTCCCATCACCACAGTCAACCAACCAATCAAATTTAATTAAAAATTAAACACAATAATGCTGGTGAAGACTCAGAGCAAGAGGAACGCAGCCACTTTGGAAAACAATTTGGTAGTTTCTTACAAAATTAAATATACTTTGAACATGTGTTGCAGTGATTCATGCTTATGTCCACACTAAACACTGCAGACAGATTCGATAACAGATTTTTGTTCATGATTCCCAAAACTTGGCAGCAATCAAAATGTCTTTCATCAAGAGAAGAGATAGACTACAGTACATCCAAACAATGGAGTACTACTCAGCACTGAAAAATTAAGCTATCCTCAAGTGACAACAGACAGGAAGTAAATGCATTTTGCTAAGTGAAAGAAACCAATCTGAAAAGTCTACATATGTTGTGATTCCAATTATTTGACATTCTAGGAAAGGCAAAACTATAGAGACAGTTAAAAAAAAAATCTGTTTGCCAGGGCTTAAGAAAGATGAACAGGCAGAGTCGAGAGGAATTTTAGGACAGGGAAATTACTCGATATGATACTGTCATAATAGACACATGCCATTATTTGGTCATCCAAACCCATAAAATGCCGATCACAAACACATCAACCAGTCTTTATGTGCTAAGGAGCGCCCCTGTGGCGCCCCGGAGATGCGCCCTCTGGTGGGTGATGTTGGCAGTGCCTTTGTGGAGCAAAGGGTGTATTGGAAAGTTCAGTACCTTCCTCAATCTTTCTGTGAATCTCAAACTACTCTAAAAGTAAAGTCTATTTACATTTTTTTAAGGGAGAGAGAAAAATTAGACTATCTGGGACAAAAGGAGTCATAAACAGCGGTCAGGGCCACCTCCCCTAACAAGGTCTGATTCTAAGTAAAACAGCTTCTATTTTAAAGTCATTTAAAAAAAGGCAACGTGGTTTGGAAAATCCTAGGGAAAAAATTGAAGCCAGCTCCTCGCTGGAGACAAGACAAATAATCAACTCTAGGTATGTTTCCCTTTAGCAATGAAGGACAGACTTATTAGCTGGCTCTGTAAACCGTTAATTACGAAGCCACGGGATGTCACAGCTGGAAGGGATTTGTGTGGCAGTTTACTTCAGCCACATCTTGTACAAATGAAGCCAAGAGAAACGTGAGCTACCTCATGGGCCGTGCTTAGTGGCAGGGCAAGGACACAGGAAAACAACTCCCTCACGCCGGGGAAGACGTGGCTCGGAAGCTCCCTCCCAGGAGAGCAGATCGTGTAGTGGTGACCCCTCCGACTTAGCCTTCAAAACGGCCCCTCTCACTGTAAAGATCGGGGAACACGGTCTTAATACAGGCTCTGGCTCTCTTTCCTTAACCGTAGAGTTCTGAGGTCTAGCACAGAACACAGAGAAAGCCATCAGCAGTGTAGAGAGACACCAACTTGCTCTTTGACCTTAGGGGAGTCTCTGCCCTCACTGAGCCTCAGTATCCCCCTCTGAGAATATCATGGTTTATCTAGACAGTTTTGCTTGGGAGTTTTAGGATTCTTCCAGGCCAGGGGTAGGTAAATTGTAGCTCATGAACCATATCTGACTTACTTCCTGTTTCTGTTTTGTCTTTTCTGGCGCCGGAGATCCAACTCAGGACCTTGCACTTGCCAGACAGGTGCGGTGCTGCTGAGCTACATCTGGGCCCACTTTCTATTTTTGTAAATAAGTTTCTGGGAAAACTTCCACATGCATTCATTTATGTGTTAACTACGGCTGCCATGGGGTTAAAATGGTAGAATGGAGCAGTTGCAGCAGAGCCTATATGGCCTACACTGACTAATATATTTACTAGTGGCCTTTATTGATAAAGTCTGCAGACTCCTGTTCTAGGCTGCACCATAAGAAATGAGGGAGGTGGCTTCCTTTTCAATAACTTCAGCTTAAGGTCAATGATCATCTCCTAATACTCTCAGAACACCTGTCCTTTGGACAATGGCCTTGGTCATCCTCAGACTGTCTGAACCCTGCCGGTGTTTGGCTTGGCTTCTTATCCCTTCAGCTCAAATTCCCTGGCTTGGCTTAATTTCCAAATTGGGACCAGCCACTATCTTAACTTTAAGGTAGGATTGATTTCTTCCTTAGGTACGCCAGGGAGCTGGACTAGGTGGCCAAGGAGGCATAGCTTATTTTAGGAGCTGGTCTTCTCAGAGGAGCTGGAACTTAAGTCAGAGAACAGAATGGCACCAAGGTAATCTTGTCAGGTTTCTGCCATCATTGCTAGTCTTTGTGATTCCAATGTTAAGCCCACAGTTCATATCCAAAGAAACAGAGGGTCTCTTGGTACCCATTTCCTTTCCCCACCAGAGTGCATTCACCTATCACATACCACCTTCACTGGGGCGGTGTCTCGAGGAATCCCTCTTACCTGTGAGTCCAGCGCTTGTGTTGCTGGTGGTTGAAGAAAGGATGATGCTGGAAGTCGGTTTTTGGGGAAGTCCCGAAGTAGAGATCCCTGAGGAACCACCTTGCACGGCAGAGGACATTTGAAGGGTACTTTGTCCTGGAGAAGCAGTTGTGTCTTGTACGCTGCTTATGAGTGTAGTAACTGTAGGGGGACTGGATGCATGGTTTGGGGAGGAAGTCACTGTTTGGGAAGACACAGTCACTATGGTGGTAGCAGATGTAGGGAAGGTAGTTGAAGCTGTGGGGGGATCAGGAGTGGCAGTAATTGAAACCAAGGGAGAGCCAGATGCGTAGGTATCAGTGGTAGTGCTCATTACGGTACTTGCCGTGGCTGTAAATAAAAGGCAAGTGTTACACTGTTTTGATCGTAGGAACAAAAATACCTTTTCTCATAAGAGTACACTGGATAAATAGTGGCAGTTATAATTAATATGAATATGTTTACCTTATTCTACACACACACACATACATACACAATGCTACATAATTGAACTAACTACAAAGCTGGGCACGGTGGCACATGCCCATAATCCCAGCACTCTGGAAGGCTGAGGCAGGAGAATTTGGCTCACCCTGTCTCAAAAAAATTTTTTTTTAAATTTTGACTAAGCTTGGATACAGCTTAGTACAAAGGCCCTGGGTTCGATCCTCAGTACCATAAAGAAAAAAAGGAGAGAAATACAAAGCATAAAATTAAAATTAAACAGACAAAACTAGAAAATGCTATTGAAACTGACCTTGAAACTGCCAATCTGGGTTTTGTACTTGTGGCAGTTCCCGGGGAAGACAACTGAAAGTGCCACAAGGTGGCGCTCTCACTACAGGAAGTGGATTCCTTTTGTCTTTCTACTCCAAGGCCATGGCCGAATTTTCCATTAAGGGATTTTTTTTTTTCTTTTGATAGCTGGAGGGAAAAGTTAGAAGGAGTAATTTAAAGAATGACTACATAAAATATTTCATTAAGTACTTACTAAATTTCTTTCAATTTTTTCTGGTATATTCGTAATTCTCGGTAGATGGATTTACGAAGAATAATGTAAATAAATGATCTTAATCTCAAGGACTACAGCGGTCAACAAACTTGCATTTCCATAGACATAGAAACCTCTAGGCACACAGAAGAATAAACTCTTCCTGAGCCAGCAAGTCATTTCCGAGAGTCCTTAATTTTCTCTAAGACCTCTGATAGATTGTACAAATTATTAAAAGAAAAAGTTGTAAAGAGGAAGCAATTCTTAAACCTTAGGGTACAGAGAACTTCTGAGGATGCTACCTAATTCTCCCCCAGGTCTGTGAGTCCCTTAGGGATGGAGCCTGCCTCTCCTCTCTGAACGGCTCTAAACAGTCATTCGAAATGGTACAGAGACAGGCAAGTGTTCTTTTCCGGGCAGGAAAAGTTGAAGCCGGCTGGCTGTTCTCGGGTATAAGCGCTTGCCCTCTGCCCACCAGGACCTGGGAAGCAGACACTCGCATCCGCACAGGAGACCTGCCCAGAGCCAGAGACCTGCCCAGAGCCAAAGCCGAGATTGGGTCGCACTGTTTTCTGCCTCAGCTGGGTGGCTGGGGAGTGGTACGAAGGCCATTTGTGTAACGAGAGAGCCGAGAGGGCCCAGAGAGCAAATGAAGAGAAGCGGGGTTGGGGGGTGAGGGTAGGGGGGCGGTGAGGTGTGTTCAGATGAACAGAAGTCATCTCTGTGATGCCCTCTGTCACTGGACCAGCAGGGGGAGCCGTGGGCTGACCCAGCCATGAGAACTCTGGACCCAAGCAAAGGGCCTGCGTGGGAAGATGGCCCTGACCCTTCCAGATCTTGAATTTCGTACTTTGGAAACATGTGCTCTGCTGACACCAAGTGACAACACGTTTCTGGAGATATGCATGACTCGTGCAGCTGTTTGTTTTCTTCAGCTTGTTGAGATTATGAGAAGGAGGTTTGGATTTGGTGGTTTATTTAATTTAGCTTCAAATTGCTGTTTGCTTGGAAGATTGATTCAGGGGACACTCAGTTTTAAGAAAAGGTGCACACGCCAAGATGATATCTATTCCTTGCTGTGAACAGCTACAGTAAGTATGTTACTAAAAAAGAAAACAAAACACTGAAGCATAGGGCTGTGTGTTTCTGAGGTTGTACAGAATTCACAGAGGGAAGTTTATATCTGATATCCTGGGCTTACATTACCTAGTAAAAATACCCAAGAAAAAATAATCTATTTGCTTTGATCTATATTTAACAGAAATATATTAAGGCGTCAGCAGATAAAGATAGCTTTAATCTTTTCTTTTTGGTGGTACTAGTAATTGAACCCAAGGCCTTCACCTTGAGCAGCATCTGCAGCCTTTTTTAAATTTTTTGAGACAGGGTCGCACGAAGTCACTAAATTATCCAGGATGGGTTCGAACTCTTGACCTTGCTTCCATGGCTGGGATCACAGGCAGGCACCACATGGCTTTTTAATCTTTTGATTTCCATAAATTCTAGAGCTTTTAACCAACGCAACTGTTGCACCATGTAAGGTCACAAACTATAGGCTTAAATAGGAGAAAACATGCTCAGCCCCGTTCCTTTCTGGAGAATATGCCAGCATCACCATCCTGTACAGGGAACGCCTGTAGCTGCTCTATTCAAAGCTAGTTGAATATCTTAGTAAATATCCGTTCTTTCAGATCTTCAGATATGAAGATTCAGGTCTTGGTTCTCAAAGGTACCATTAGATGCTATAGAACAAAGCAGCATTAATCGCTCAGAGAAAACAAAACCACCTGGTAAGTTTTACCTGTTAAAGGGACTGCAAATATCTATTTGCACACTTGTTTTTCCAGTAAGTACTTATGAAAGAGTGATTTTGGTAAAAGGTGCCACTCAAGCAAGCAGTGGTGTGTGTGTGTGTGTGTGTGTGTGTTAGGGTGTACAAGATCCACTTTTTGCCCTTGGCTGCTAAGATTCTGAGAGGGAACTCACATTTGGAACAGTAATTCCTTCCACACACCTGCCAAATCTTTAATATTCCATAGGAAAGAAACCTTTTTTCCTTTAAAAACACAACTGCACAGCGAGCAAACTGTCGTCAGTGATCCATCTGGGGTTGGGTACTAGGATTGGGAAGGTGGGTAGGGTAGGTCAGAGGTTCTCATTTTATTTCAGATTCATCACTATTGCCTGAAGGTTCTGCACTACTTATATAACTTTTTTAAACAAAGAAGAGTAAAAACTAAAGTTTAAAAACTGGATACAAGAGCCAGACTGGAGCCCTGTTGAGCCCCTACAATGGGCCAGGCAGTGCCCTGCGAGCCATGTTTGTGTCACCGGTCAGTGACTCCAGTGTAGGGACCGCCCCAAGGTACCCGACTCACTGACCCCCGATTCCCTGATCTCTAGCGTCTCTGAACAGCCACCCCCGCCTTTCCTCTTAACGTGTTACGGAAGCCGAACCTTCTCAATAGCAGCTCCTGAATGTCACAGAAACTTCGTCAATTCTTACTGGGACCTGAAGGCTCGTCTGTGACCATCTCCCAGCATTGGCAGGAAGATCTGACAGTTTCCCCAACCTCCTCTCTATGAGTAACTTAAAACTGGCTCTTAATCAAGTCCTGATGTCTGCTACCCCTTCTAGTCCTCTCAAACGGTTTGATTTCTCTTCATCTTTCTGCCTTGTTGAATACACCATTCTTTACTATAAGTGGCCTCTATATCACAGCCCATTAGCCCTCCCCCTTGGACATGCTGATGGCCTCACTTCCTGACAGCTCTTTCCGACTCAGAAGAGGACCACATGCGTCTGAAGTCTAACCAACACTGTAATTACTCCCTGCAGTCGGGTGTCCTCAAATTCAAGGACATTGGCCGGAGCTCCAAGGATATCAGAGGACAGATCCAGAGTGCTACAATAGGTTCAGGGTCCTTCAGCCTACTGGATCATTCTTGCCTGGCCCTAGATACCTCTCTTGTTTGCTGAACCCCAAAATCTTAGTTCATAGACCCCTTCTGCACTGCTATATCTTCCCTGTTAGACAGAAGTGGACAGGAAACATCTGCAAAATGGTCCACATGCAAGAACCGCTGGTAGCTATAAGGATTGGTAGCTATAAGCCTGCTGTTTCACTTCAGAGACAATAAACAGGATTAGAAGAAGCAAAGTGAAAAATGTTTCTTACCCAAGTTTACAAAAAGAAGAGGAAGAAGAGGAAGAGGCACCAACGCATTCATTTCCACTGCTCTTGCTTGGTAATCCAAGGAGGAAATGATTCCCCTCCCCACCCTCCCTTGAGTTTTAACTCCCTTTCAGGGACAAAGTCCGGCCATTAACTGTGATGTCAAACCAGCCAAAGGCAATTAGTAGTTAGGATCTGGTCAGATATCACAGGGCTCTTCCCAGCTTCGGGATACAAGGGATGCACCTGGACTCACGGATTCTTTTTCTGGCTCAAAGTCTAAAACGACTTAGGATATTCTAAAATCAGTTTCAAAATCCTTGCAAGGTGGGTGGCGGGTGAATTTGGTGAATGTCTTATATCCTAAACATCCCTAAACGAGTACCTTTTTTGGAGGGTTACTGTTCTTTCACAAACCTGATAATATAGTCTATTCTCTGCTCACCCCTGTTTGAATGCAAAGCATCCAGTTTCCTCCAGCTGAAGTTGAGAAGTAGTTTAGTTTCCCTACTCTGTTGCTTGATTTTTGTCATTTTTACTGTTGGCCATCACCTGGACCTCTCCTGATGGTCACGTCTATCAACTTTACAACTCCAAGTTTCTGTGGCCTCCACTTTTACTCTACCTGGTCAGTGCATTAAACAGAGTTTTACTGAAGGCTTGTGGGAGATAGGCTGAAGAGGAGAAACACAGTCAGTGAAAAGAAAGACCCAAGCCAGATCTGAGCACCACCCCTAGCTGCTCAGGGCTGGACACCAGCCGACCCTGTCTCCTCACTCACTCCCTTGTACCTCAGCCCCCAGGGCTCCCTATATTCAGGAGCCAGCTTTATCCCTTGGGCTAGAGTCCTCTTAATCCTTTCCTCTCTCCTCAAGATCCAGCCCCACTCAGAGGAACTAAAGACAACACGTTGCGAATTTCATCCTGAATTTTAACTTTGGTTTTAGTAAAAATAAACAGTATTACATCATTGCCCAGAAGGTTAGTTCTCTATTGTCCCTAAAAATCTCAGGCAAAAACAGGCTTGGGATGTGTTCTTGCATAGTGGAGAGGCCCACTGAAACATTTTTACAATTAAGGTCCCTCATGTTGTTACAGTTGCCCTCAGCTTAAATGGCTCCTGGTACCAGGATTTAATCAAAGACCTGTTTTTATTCTTTTTTTCTTTTCTTTGTAAACTAAAA